TCTGGTAGATGGTGTGTCCTAGGGAGCCATTGGATTTCTTGTAGACTAGGACATCCAGGAAGGGGAGTTGGTTATTAGCTTCTGTTTCCATGGTGAACTGTATTTTGGGGTGTAGGCTGTTGAGGTGTGTGAGGAAGTTGTCCAGTTTTTCTTTCCCATGTGGCCAGATTATGAAGGTGTCGTCTACGTACCTGAGTCATTCTTTAAATGAAGTATTTATTATGGACTCTACAGTGGTCTTTTTATATTTTTGCATAATTTGTCTCTGGAAAAGGAAATAAATAACTCTGAAGTTACGCATGGATCTTTGACTGATGAAAACTGGTTTACTTTTTTCTTCCAATTTATCTTGACTTAGAGCTTGCACGAGCAGTTCATAATTAGTTCCACAGTCAACCCCTTGCCATTCTTTCCTGTAATAACTGAAGTCTTCCATTTTTTTTCTTTTCCACCAAAAAACGGTGTATTCAGTCTAATGATGCCCATGTAGATGTACTGTATATCCATGTATGATGCATATGAAGGTGTAATTTTATTTGTTGGAATACTGTTAGTAATGAAAAACATTGGACTGGGAGAAATTGGTAAGCCATTCTCCTACTTCATTTCTTTTTCTTAGGTTGTGCTTTCCATCTAGGCTGTCCTCTTGAATATTTTCAACTTTGGCATTCCAAACTGCAACCACAAGCAGCACAGAATGCTTGCATATTCTTTCAATTTTAGATTAACCTTGAGCAGATAACCTGTCAATCTTCTCCTCTGTATCAATGGTTGAGGCATAAACTTAGTTAATTATTAACTAAGGTTTGTCTGCAAAGTCTAATTGATATTATTTAATCACTGCATTGTGCCCAGGTATTGCCCTTACGATATCATTCCTGGTTATGAAAGCAATGCCATTCCTGTGTGTCTTGAGTTATAAGAAGTATGAACTTTTGGCTAAAAGTGTCCACTTCCTGCCCATCTTATTAGATAATGCCCAAGATGTTAATGTATGCCCAGTTCATTTCTCTGTGCGACTTTTCTCATGTTCCTGATTTTTACATTCCATGTTTTCACTGTACTTCTGCCTTTGAAGTTTGAGATTTTATTATACTACAATATCAGCAACTAGATATCCCAAACTCTTTAATCTCACTGTGTCATAAACACTTGTATTACTCTGATAGATCCACAGCTTTTCTTCAGTAGCATGTTAAGCATGTTTAGTATATTTATTTAAGAAAATTTATATGGCCACCCAACTGACTCTCAATGACTCCAGATGGCTTGCATGATAAAAACCCAATATAAAAGGCAATAACACTACCATTCTAGCAACAACAATCAAACGAGCCATTTGATAGGCTCCACTCTGGGTCCCTAGGCCTGATCTCCAGGGCCTTGAGAAAAACTGTCAAAGTGGGGGCCAATCTTATCTAGGGATGATGTTCCACAGGGAGAGAGTCACCACAGACAAGACCTTTGGTACCACTAGATGGACTGCTTTAGGACAGAGTCTGTACTGTACTGTATACATATTGTGTATATACTGTACAACAGTGCATGCTAGGATGATGAAAAGAAATCACACACTTAAGTTACATTTGTCAAGTGGAGGTGATAACATATGTTTCCATTAAAGAATGATGAGAACAGCTCTTCCCAGAGGTCATCAAAAATTAGTTCCACTAATAGCCAATAAGATGGGAGTTCTGTCTGGGATGGCCTG